AATCTATTAAGGTGTCGATTATTTTGCTTTGTTGCTGGTTCTGTTTCAAAGTATTGATCGTTATTTTTGTTGCTGGTTCTGATTTTCTAAGTTTTGGATCGTCTCATTTTGTTGCTGGTCTTTTCTAAGTTTTGATTTCGTTTGTTCTGATTGTTTTGAACTTTTGCTGGTTCTGATTTTCTAATCTCGTTTTGTTGTTCTGTTCTGTTTTTCTTTTCTTGTTTTCTTGTTGTTCTGATTTTCTAAGTTTGTTTCTCGTTTTGTTCTGGTTCTGATTTTCTAAGTTTGGATCTCGTTTTTGCTGTTCTGATTTCTAAGTTTTTTCATCTGCTCTTTTGTTTGTTCTGTTCTGATTTTCTAAGTTTGTTCTCTTCTTTGATTTTCTTTTCTTTTCTCGTTTTGTTTCAATTCAGTTTCGTTCCTCTCTTTTGTTCCTCTCTAAGTTCGTTCCTTTTTTGCACACACTCTCTCTCACACACACACACACACTCTCTCACACTCTCTCACACACACTCTCTCACATCTCTCACACACACTCTCTCACACTCTCTCACACACACTCTCTCACACACACACTCTACTGCAACGTTCACAAAGATTCACGGTTTAAAAGTTCTTTTCCGTCTCTCAGATCCAAACCAGCGTCTGCGTCTCGTCTGCAGCTCCGGCCTCGGCTCAGTCACCTGATCGTCCACAGACTCCAGCTCCAGATCCTCAGGTTCAGCACAAAACTTTAATCTTCAATCGTCGCCTCTTTATTTTATTCTCTGACCGTCACATTAGTTTGTAAAAAAAAAAAGGGAAAAGTTTTCACAGAATAAAACACGTCCAGACTGGGCACACGTCAGGAGAAAGATCGAGTGAAGGTTTGAGAAATCTGCTGATAAATGGACTCATGATCTCAACAATGTCCCATCACGATTCAGAGCTGTGGAACTTTCCTCACTTTCCTCTGATTGGTCGATCTCCACAGGGCTCCGCGGCGTCAGGGCGTCAGGTTTACGTGCAGAGTCTATGGAGAGGCGAGCGTCTGGGCAGGTCCAGTGTGAAGCGTTTGGTGAAACACAAGTTCACACGAATCACGGTGACGTCAAAATGGTTCATTTGGCTTGAACAAAAATAAAGACCAAGACCAAGATGGAATCCATTTTTTTAAAACATCAAGCAAAAAAGTAGAAATCAAAATACCAAAATAAAAATTCTAACAAAAACAGTAAAATAAAATGAATAAATTTGCAATCAAATTTTTTGTATAATCGTGTAAAATCTGTCTTTGCCTCTTTAGAAACATTTTATTTTTGCAGTTTCCTTTAGTTCCGATTCTTCTCGTTGGACTTTTTAGTTTCAGTTTTGGCACAGGTGTGACAGGTGGGCGGGGTTTCCATGGTGCATTCCCATTGGCTCATGTGTTTGACGGACAGCTGAGCTCCTGAAGTTGTTGTGGACGTTTCCTGCTGAAGTTTTGTTGGTTTGGTGTTTGTCCAGAACTTCCACTGTATAAAAATGATGTTCCAGAAGAATCGTCCACCAGAACAATAAATATTAGAAAAGCTCTGAGCACCAAAACCAAAACACTGAAATCTCGTAAAATAAAATAAAAAATACAATCAAATATACTATTTTTAAATTTGGTATTTGATTTATACTTTTTTGCTACACATTTTAAAAATTCAAAGACCGGGATTTAATTATGACCTGAAAAACGTCTGGTCTCGTTTTATGGAAAATTTCTCTTGTGAAAAGCCCCACAGTGAAGTTTTAAATCTCATCTTAAGACTCACTTTTATTCTCTCGCTTTTAACACCGTGTGAGTTGTGTGCTCCTCTCTGGCTTTTAGTTTTATGGTTTTTTTTAACCTTTTTATTATTTATTTTCATGTTGGTTTGACTCGTTTTATTTTCTTAACGAGGAGCTGTGGAGTTCATTTGAGTGTTATTTTATATTTCTATTGGACGTGTTTTATTTGTTTCGTGCAGAATTTTGGAAACGGTTGTTGTTTATGAAAAGATCTGTAGAAATAAAACGGAATCTAAACGAGTCACATTCATATTTTAAACACTCGTCTCTCATCGTCTCACCAGGACTAAACCAGGACTAAACCAGGACTAAACCAGGACTAAACCAGGACTAAACCAGGACTAAACCAGGACTAAACCAGGACTAAACCAGGACTAAACCAGGTCTAAACCAGGACTAAACCAGGACTAAACCAGGACTAAACCAGGACTAAACCAGGACTAAACCAGGACTAAACCAGGACTAAAACCAGGACTAAACCCAGGACTAAACCCAGGTCTAAACCAGGACTAAACCAGGTCTAAACCAGGTCTAAACCCAGGTCTAAACCAGGTCTAAACCCAGGTCTAAACCCAGGACTAAACCCAGGACTAAACCCAGGACTAAACCTAGGACTAAACCAGGACTAAACCAGGACTAAACCAGGCAGGACTAAACCAGGACTAAACCAGGACTAAACCAGGACTAAACCAGGACTAAACCA